TTCAGAGGAGAAAGTTTGTCCAAATAAAGTGGGTACTGTCCCATCTTTAATGGATAAGTGCTTTGTAAATCCCATTTAGACGTCACAGAGATTTGAGAAGCATCATCAAAAGGTCGCTGTTGTATCACTGTGGTGATTTTAACCACTGACTCTTCACATCCCAATTCTTTAGAAGTGTATGCATAAAGAATTTGCCTTTGCAACGCAGAAAACAGCATCTTCTCGACATGTACACAACACGAACCAGCTAGTGTTTGAGAGTGGTTCAAAGTAGACGTTGTTCGCGGGCAGCCAATGCAGACCATAGGTGGGCATTATGCAAATGTATTACATTGTTACATATGAATGTTACAGAAATGACTGAGGACTAATTTCGGCAGTTCAGAATTAACCATAAGCTTGGCGAACAGGTTTAGAGGATTTGATGTTTTCCCATTCAAAGAGATAGCAGCTGCACTTGCATGCCCGAGAGGCGTTTCAAAGATGGCCACAGAGTGAAATGACTTGTCTTAAAGGGGCTTTGGTAAAGCCCCCACACACTTTCTAAAGCTGGGCATTGTCAAATTAAACCTTTAATGGTTCATTAAAACACTCCCTCTTCAAGCGCCTCAGAATGAGCAGCAGAGACATAAAAGCTAATGTTAAACCATAACGAAAGTCCTCTGACATATTCTGCCTCAGGCTTTTAATAATATTAACTTTCTATAAACACACTATAAATCTGAGCACTTTCATGTTCAGATCAAAGATCTAATTATTAGGGTAATGTTTATGCGATACTTAAATATTGTATATTATAATATTATATAAATAAATTACTCGTATAAGGTTTTGGTCATATGGCCCCCTCATAATCGTGATTAAAATATTGACCAAAATAATTCTGTCATAATCAAGCATCCCTGCTAGTTATAAATGTGCACTGTATGGTGTATGCAGACTGGAACACTGTATTCTCTACTAATGTAATATTTAATGAACAGAGCAGTATTTAGAGTAGACATTGTCAGGCAAATTGCTATTTTATAATTTCATGTCAACAATCCAGACACTTTAAAGGCCATCATCTCTGATTCTCTGTTACATTGTGCTATATTACAGAGTAAATTTGACACCATATTCAGACAGCAAATAACTCATGATCTTTCCAATGAATGAAATCAGACCATGCTAAGCTACACACATACTTCTGCTTCCAAAAACATTAGATATTTTAGTCTTTAACTAAAACCACTCATATTAATTATATGTATTATTACACGTTTACAATGGTTGAGCACAGACTTGGGTCTGTAGATGTGTTCTTGAACTAAATCACTCTCATTCTCAGTAGGAGTGTGATCTCAAGTCACAAGCAAAACTAAAGGTCATAACATAATCATGATTATCCAACACAACAACAGGATTCAGTCAAGCCCCAGAGAATAATGAGCCGACCCGGGGCAGACAATATGCTAAGAGCATTGGTGAGATTTTAGCCCAACCCCCTCAACCACAGCTCATACAAGACCCCAAGAGAAAAGATAAGAAGAATCAATCATTCTAGGGTGATTTTGTTGGGGAGTGCATCTGCATAAGAAATAAAAAAGTAAAAACTTGAATTTTTTTTGAGTGCAGAATCTTTTAGGGCTGAAGAATTTGGGAAAAACTTGTGGGTGTTCGGTTCGCACTTGGATACACTTGACAAGAACCAACTCAAACCTCTTTCAGTAACGCTTTTTTTTTTTATCTCTGTCCACTTGGGGTCTTGTACGTCACATTACCACTGTTTTTGACCCATTCAACATGACTATAAAATAATTATTGTGATGTTTTTTTATTGTGATTATTATTAAGTACAAATATTAAACAAATTATTGTAATACTATTGTACTGTGAAATTTTTTTTTTATAAAAAATAAAAGTCATGTATTTTACAGTACAACTGTACAATTACAATACTAATATTTACACTTTAATTTATTTCAATTAAATCAAGTTTTTCTTTTTGCGGGGGCCGGGGGGTATTTCAGCGTCTCGGTCTATTTTATTTCAATCTATTGTGCAGTCTAAATTAGTGGTACTTGCCAAGGCTAGAAGATCCTCGAAGATAATAATTAACACATATCCAACCAACCACAGCAAAACAATGCCCTAGCATCCAGTCATAACACCTTAACAACTACATAGCAATGCCCTAGCAGCCAGCCATAAGACCTTAGCAACTGCAAAGCAACACTTTGCATACTAGCATTTAGTCACCACTTATAACACCTTATATTAACTGCATATAGCAACCATGCCAAAACATCCTAGCAACCATACCAACAGTAACACTTTGAAAACCACAACAAACCAAAACATCCTAGCATTATGGCATTGAGTTATCCATGGGAAACCAATTACAGTTAGTTTAGTAATGTAAATGTATTTGAAAAAAACAAAATCATGGTAAAAAAAAAATGCTGAATAGTCTAACACAACCGTGACATCAAGAACTTGAAGAGCTTTTAGAGTATGTAGGCCATAAAGACTCCCCCCTCAGTTCTGCAGAAATAAAGTAATACAGTAAATTCCAAAGAAATGACAATGACATCTCCTTGATGTTGCCATAATCGTTTCCTTAAGCTCCTAACCAGGAAGAGCTTCAATAAAAGCTCTAAAACCCAACAAAACAAAGGTGTGGCATGAGCCAATCCTCAATCACTAACATCACCTACAAACACAACAGAGAGAGAGAACAAAAGCAGCACATAACCCAACCTGGGCCTGGCCAGCTGGATGCTTCACCAAGGTGAGGCAACAACACTGTTAGTAACATGAAATCATTTTTTTTTATCAATGATCAACTTACCATGATTCCATTATGAATTCAAATGTACCCCCAAAAAATGAATCATTTATTCATTGTGAAATGTACAAAAGTGCCCACAAATGCATTTCACACTGATGTAGTTCAAGAAAATTGTGAGTAATGCGTACCTTATGTCTGAGCCCTGTATGAATAGGATTGGCCTGTTCACACCAAGCCCAATAACTAGATTACTATAACGAATCCGAAACCTATATTAGTGTCCACACCAGGCAGCTGATAATAATGATCTATTTCTGCACACTGCGGTAATGTCGTCTGCCACTTTAAATCAACAGAATCATGCAACAACGGAACAGAAAAGAACAGAAAAGTTTAAATACTGTCTTAAAAACAGCGCTCAGGTTGCGAGACTTTAGCATCACAAAACTAGTCATCATAGTACACAAAGAAATATCTATACATAATGACTGAAACAATAACAGGCATTTTCTTGAAAATTATTATTTATTTATTTTTGAAGTACTAATGTGCTGCTTTAGCAGTAGTAGGGATGCTTATCAGAGAGAGTTTACTGTGCAGACAATCTAATAACACAACTACTGTAGCTGTCAGCATGCTAAAATCCTCACAGAGAAATAGTGTCTCCATTCATCTCCATTAACAGTACCGCTAAAATATTAAAGCTAAAACAAAATTTGAAGAACAAAAATAGTAAAACTCTAATAATTGACTCTAATGTCAAACAACTGGAACCATCATTAGTTTGAATACATTCTATGGATCTAAACCTAGTTTGATAAACCTAGTTGACAGCACCACTGCGTAGAGGAAGTGAAACAGATCATTGGTGCTTGTTTGGTTTCCTGTTTTTAGATCGATTTTGACTGTGAATGGAAGCATGTTATGCGACAAGTCAAACAAACCTCAAGTACGGCTTTGTAAAGTTACAAATAGTTATCAGTTCTAAATACAAATCCTAACTATGTAGATATATTTCTTGAGAGTAATGAGACACAAAACAAATACAATCAAATGTCACCTTTTAGCAAAATGCACATATGCCAAAATAGTTTTTGAAAGGGAGAATAAACAGGTTCCCTAATGTTTGCAGTTTCACATTTCCTTCAGGATTCACTGACAAATCTGAGAGAACTTTATTAGATCTCACTAAATCCTATACTTGACTCCAAACAGAACATGTGACTCTTTTTCCACCATAAATCACCTGACCTCCTCGCAAGTTTTTTACTGCTGTTTACATTAAAGTCACAATGTGAGCATATACTACATGCTGTTTTTGACATGTCACATTTTCTGTATTATTTGCATATAGCATTTTTGTTATATTGTTTTCTAAAGTTTTTTTACTTTAAGTTGCCCTTCGAAATGTTTAGTGTTGCTTGAGTTTTCAAATTCGTTTCACTATAAAGCACAGAATCTCCCAAGACAGTTATAACTTGTTTGGACCGATGATGTCTAGCAGGAAGTATCTCATTGTTACTGCATGTGACATGAACAACTCAAAATCCACAAGCTTACAAAATGTAAGTGGAATACCTTAACAGCTTTTCAAGATCCAAATACTCAGTTTACAGTTTCCACTTGATCAGTGACCTTCTAGTACAAGAAAAACCAATAAAGTACAGCACTATGATGACACATTTTGAATGATGCAGTGGTAAAGAATATAGTGAACCTTTGAACAGGTCATAAACACCCAACAACTGTCTTATAAAACATCCTTAAAGCCTTTTTTTAAAAACATTTGAGCGTGGATTTGCACAGATTTCAAACTTTACAAAAAAACGTATTTGTCTTTTTCAAGTCATTAAGAACATAAAAACTTATTAAATAAACACTTTCTTAAATTTGATAAATTCTTCTTAAATGATTAATTCACTCAAAATGGAATTATTTACTAAACCCTCACGTGGTGCCAAAACCTTTATGACTTTTTTTCTTTAGTGGAACACACAAGAGGATATTAGGCAGAATAAAAATAAATGGTGACTGAGGGTTCCTAATATTTCCTTGTGTGCCCCACAGAATAAAGCAAGTAATACAGGTTTTGAATGAAATGAGGGTGAGTAAATTTCTTTTTGGGTGAACTGTCATTTTAAGCCTCTTCTTAAAGACATAACATTTATTGAATACATGTCTAGTGAGTGAAGTCTAGATATTATGCTAAATATGATAACATATTTACCTTTTTTCCTGATGATCCAGTCTTCGAGAGGCAGGATCGCCCCAGGGAAAGATAGCCCCCAATGACCTCGATCTCTTCTGCAGCAGGGTAACGCTTTTTAATCAGGGTGCCCAGATGGGCATAAGGGGCTTGTGGCGTGCTCGGAGATTCAGTGACAACCTCCGGGGTCTCAGAAGGCTGAGGCTCGGGCCTCCGTTTTGGAACAACTGTAAATGTATTCCCTTTGCGCCTCTGCAGTGCAGGGCTCACGACGGACGGCATGGGCTCCACGACTACGTCATCGATGTTCGTAATAGGCAGCATATCGATTGGAGGTTCCTCTGGGGGTGAGGCTGATTTGACAGGTGAGCCAATTGAGGGTGGAGAAGATGGGGTTGGGGAGGTGGGTGTGGCAGGTGGGGTATGTTGCGGAGACCCTGTTTTGGCTTCTATGGTCACCTTTTCTGTAAGCTTTGGTCCGAGGGGTGTGAAAGAAGTAGGCAGGGGGGTTGGCACAGCGGGCTCTGAAACTGCCACACCCACCAGGGGTCGTGGGGACGGGGGGGAGAGGACAGGACTGGACGGGGCAGTGCTGCCAGGTGACGAGATGGCCGCGCGACTCTTGGGAATGACGGTGAAGGAATTGCGAGACTGAAGACGCAGGTTGGCGAGCGCACGGGCCTGTAGATCACCGGCCGGAAGGAGAGAAAGATCGGGGCGAGGGGATGGCCGGATCTCGAAGCTGGGCGATAAGGGGGGTGACGTGGGGCTAGGAGTGCAGTCGGCACGGGCACGGTGGCTCTCCGGAGAGCATGGCACCTTGGCTTTGGAGGCCCCATCTGTGCTGTCCCAGTCCCGTTCTCTAACAGGCTTGGATGGGGACATCTCAGCGTCCTCCTTGGGATGCACAGTGACACTTCGTCCCCCACTCCCCTCAAAACGTCTACGTGCAGAAGACACTAACTGAGGGGACCCGGAAACAGGCGTACTGCTCCCTGAGTCACAAGGAGAGGCGAGATGATTGATTACGGTAGACTGTGCGTTTTGGAAGACTTTGCTGTGTGGAGAGCCAGCTTGCGGAGACACTGGACATTTTGGCACCACGTCTGGCTTGGGTCTGGAGCTTGGCCTGACAGGAGTATGGTCCAAGTCCAGGAGGTTTTCTGTGCTGCGCGACTTGGGCTGCAACCTGCCATAATTCCTATCAAATTTCTGTAGCATGCGACTCACCCTCCCTTGGCCCTCCAGCGGAGAGGAAGCGGGTCGTCCCAGCGTGCTGAGGTTTTCCTCGCTTTTACTAAGCGCAGTATCGTAAATAACCACTTCCTTCGCGCGTATCTCCGTAACAGGACTACCTCTCTGATCTAAAAGGTCATTGAGAGAGCTATATCCGCTCACCGTGCCATTCTGCTGCAGTTTCGACGCGTGCTTCAAACTACATCCTTCCGGAAAGTACTCAGGGTCGGATTCAATGATGATGATATTCTCAGCGCGTATAGTCCGTATCCCGGGAACGCTGCCATATAACTCGAGGATGTGCTGAACGGGACGCGCGGCGTTCTCTTGGGTCTGACGCTTCTTGCGTTCTTTCTCCAGTTTAATGAATGGGTTTTCCTGCAGCGGACCCAAGCTCTCTTGCAGCACCAGGCTCTCTTGCGCTCCGTTGTCTCTTTCTGTTATCTCCTCCGAGTCGTAAGGATCTGCGGACGGCCAGTGCCCTTTTGTTTTCACCGGTGACAGATCCGGGCTTTTAGTCGCGCGCTTGGCAGCAGTAACGGTATAGTTCCTGCTAGAATGTGCGCTGGTAATATCGTCCTTGTTGTTGCTGGCCGTTCCCTCGCCGTTAAGTCGAGATGCGACGGACTCGGCACCTGCTCCGGACCCGCCGCCCTTCGCCTTCCTCCGCTCAAGGATCTCGCGTTTCCAGGCCGGCATCCTCGGGCTCTCCTGCCCTGGCTCTTGGCGAAGAACGCGAAGATCTCCGCCCGACATTATGGGAGAAACGGGGTTTATGGGGAAACGTGTGAAACAGAATAATCTCTCGCTGTACCTGCAGCTCTTCTTCTTATTCGTCCTCGTACATCATTGCAGCCGCAACAATGTATCCTGCATGATGATGATGTGCCAGTCTACCGACACGACCCCGCCCTCGGAGAGTGACGTCACCCTTTCGTCTCAGGGTGGACACCTCATTTGGTCATTTTGACTTGAGACACACCTTTTGTTTTAACATATGCCCCGCCCACTTACCCTCTACTATTGTGAACATTAAAGCGAGCCCCGTCAGTCAAACATAGCGAGACCCACCCATAGCTTTAACCCTTTCAGTATTTCGGAATTTGAATTAACATTGCGAAAGTTAACGTAAGTAAGTGAAAAATAAAATATTCAGTCCTTGTATGTTTGTGCACACTTGGTGAATAAAACTCATTTTGATCTTAATAAATTATCTATTATAAATAATATCTAAACTGCAAAGAATTATAAGCCTATATGCTACTGTTTTCGAAAGAAATGTAAAAAGCAATTAGCCTACATTTTTAAATATTGATAAAAATTAACTTATTGAAAAATAAATTAACAAAAACATTAAAACTCTTTATTAATAATACTATTTTTTGGATCAAAAATTTGGTTAAATAAATATTTTACATATTTATTTGAATAAATCTAATAATAAGTACAACAATTTCCAGTGATGACGTGGTACAACTGGTGTTCTGGTCATAATCCAGTTTTAATATTAATTAAATGGAACATAAAAAAAAGATTCTAGCAAGACATAAGTACAGCGCGTCAAGTTATTTATAGACTACTTCATCCAATAACTGTAGCCTAGTATGCGCCTACGCTGTGAATTTAGATGACCTCAAAATAATTTCGAAGAGAGGAATACATGTTCGTTTAAGATATGGGTGAGCGACCTTTAATACAATTGTTGCCATTTACAGCCACAATGGCTTGCAATAAGTACTGCATGTCCAGTGTGGCAATTCATTGTTTAAAAATGCCTAAACATATGTTCAAGGAAATTATTTTATGCTATCACAAACCGAGTGCAAAGTCCAACAATAACATTACTTGTTATTATAATATACCTGCTAAAAGGAAATAAATAGAAATGCTTTTTGTTTCTCTATTAATCTCTATAACTCAAATGGAAAATGACATCTAATGCAAACAACACTCTGTTATTTCTACAGTTTAATTAGACAAATGAGAAATTGTGACGTGTTAAAGCTACAGTGCCATCTAGCGATTATTATACGACTTACATTTTAACGCAAGATAACCAACCAAACATAAATATCAAACAACAAAAATAGGTAACTTTTAGATCACTTCAAGGCATGGTCACAAAGGAAGAAGATCAAGAGAACAGGGAGTGTTTGAATGTTGATGGTTTATTTACAATTGTACAAAAAACAATAAAAGGTAATAACACAGATAAAGCAACATTGACAGTATTCAGAGAAAATCCAGACCAAATCTCTCATAGCACTTAAGGACAATAATAATAATAATCAAAAAAATTGCACATTACTTTGCATCGTTTGAAATACCATGTTTACATGCTTGAGACAGAAATTCAGTTGAATACATTTAAAAAAAAAAAAAGGTCACGATGATTTTGCAACGATTTATTCCTCCTGGTTTAAATGACACCAGCAGGAGTCCATTTCATTCCCATAAGTCCCTTGGCATGTGTGCAGACCGCAGTCCTTTAATTGACACGACAAGCGCGAATCATGAGCAGTTGCAGAAGGATGAAAAGCGGGGAAACAATGAGCCCGAACCACAAATCATGTGCCTGGTCCTGTTCAGCCAGTTTCTGGCACAGCAGCACCTCGCACACCAGCTTGAGGCTGAGCACGGTCAGCACCCACAGCAAGCGCAGCACTGCCAGACGCTTCTCTCCTTCTTGATAGAGGCGGATGGATACAATGGCTGTGAAGTAGGTGCTGAGGCCATCAGCAGCAAACAAGGGTGAGAAGACAAGCCACCAGCTCATCTCAAGAGTCTGCTTGTCCAAGTCCATGTGCAGGGCCACCAGTACGCTGAAGACCAGCAGCGCGCCCAAGTGGAGGAACAGCTCGAATGTGGCAAAGCCCAGCCATTGCACCAGCTCTCGCAAAGAGAACAGCATTATTAATGGGGCACCACTGAGCGTTGTTTACTCGGGAGACTAAGGTCAAACACTAGCCTAGGAAACTGGAAGTGAAGAGACGCATTCAAATAAGTTAATGGATATTCAAGTCTATGAAAAATCCTCCAATGAAGACTGTTTCACTATTTTGGCAGCATCATGCTCCTTCTGAGATGGATCAGGTCCACCTTCTGATTCATTTGACAGCTCTATCAAAACCTGAAGAAATGGGGGGAAAGATTTCATTATCAAAATACAACTATTACAAGAAATGCAAATAAATTCAACTTTCTAATTGTATGGAAAACACTGATACCATGAAACACAGATGGAGTAAGAAAGCTATTCTACTGTATACAATTATAGTGAGTTATTATTATATTAGCCTACAATGATATTTGCATGATATGCAACCATGCCCAAAAACATGGTTGGCTAACTTACTGACTAAATGAATAACATTTAAATCAATCCAGGCTTCAAAAAGGATTATTTAACTATCCTTAACATCAAAGCTTCTATATTATAAATATACATTATAATCTAGGTTAACACTGCAGATAAACATGTTATTAGTAAATTTACGTCCATCATTTTGAAGAATTTAATTTGTAAGTATAAACAAGCGAGCTGTCAGTTAGCATATGATGACGAGTACTAAATGCGCCAGTGATATTGATTTTACCTTACATATATCACTCGCAGTGATGGTTGAAGGCAAACAAATAATGATAACCTACATCTTTAAAAGATCGTTATTGAACGGATGGGTTTGACAGCGGTGGATATGCAGCTGTAATGAACCAAGCTAGCTGAGATGAGCTATTTACCTTCTAATAGGAGCCCGGGGAAATATCGTGAGATTTCACATACGAACCACGAGAAATATCGCGAGACCCTTGAAACTGGATACATTCTACGGAGGCCGAGAGGCAGCAAGACTAATGAAATCGCAGAAAAATGCATAGGAAAAATGGGAAAGCGCCAGCATGACAACTAGAATGAAACGGAGGTTGAACAACGGGCGTGGCTTATAGGCCCCAGTCTCTTAGGCACTCACTATAAGTATACATTTTCTTATTTTAACTCTGTATATTTTATTGTATGACTGAATGGTAACTAAGAAGCATTATTCAAGTCACTGCTAAAATGAAATATAGCCAGCTCTATCAAGTGGTACCTGTTACTTTTCTCCGCGCTGCTTAGGATGGATCAATCATAGTCGTTTGTGATTAAATGATAAGGTTCAGAAATTTTGTAAAGCCTACATTAACGTATTTTTATTTATATCTCAGGTACGAGAGCTTGATAAAATATATATATACAAGATTATACTTTTTATAGCACTGATGTCCCCAATAAGACAAAACTTACTGAAATGTGATTCGGACTAAATGGAAAATTTGCCATTCTGATCCACCAATCGCCACCTAGAGGAAGACAAGTTTCGTGTAGTCTAACCATAGACTGTAAAAAGATGGACGACGCCCCTTCGCTCTTTTCCATTGGAGAGAACCGGAGAGAACTGAAGCCGCCATAGGAAGCCGCCAGTGTCCCGATATGGCGCTGACATATTGGAACTTGAGTCTGCGCAGTAGCGTTTTCGGGACCAGTCATGCGCAGTCGTGAGCAGGAAGTAAAGCCGCGAAATCAAGGCCCCGCCCTCACTGTCGCTGAATCAATCGTAAGCAGCACACGCCCTGCACTTTTCTTAAGTGGCCTTGTCTGCTCCGTTCCTCTACAATGATGTCTGCTGATTGCAGTACCTCATTAACCCCTTCAGACCTGAATTATGTTTCAAGTTTCTGAAAAATATAAAAGTACATTTTCCCAGCTCATGAGGCTTCTATTAATGAGACCAAATGAAAAAAAATAAAAAAAATATTGTCTTTCATTGTAATTTTTTTTGTCCATTCCAATGGACGTCAGGTCAAAACAGGTGTACTTCCCAAAAATGTACCAACATGAAATAAATTAATAAACATTAAATTTGTTGGTCTATACTTTAAGCTTTTTGTCAAGGTCAAAAACTTTTCAGCAGTATACCATTTCAACTTTAATTTTGAGGTTTTTGTTTTACAGATTGCACATTGTTTGTGACAAACTAAATATCTTTGAATCAATCAATATGGTCATATTAAAGTCATTTTCTGTATGCATCTTTCTTTTTTTTTAGATCAAAAACTTGAACATTATAACATTGCAACTTTAATTGTAAGGTTTTTGCTTTATAGATCGCACATTTGTTTATTCATAACAAAATAAACCTAGGAATCAATGAATGCATTCACGTTAGAGTCATTTCCAGTGTGCATCTTTGAAACAATTTCTCTGTTAACGGTTTTCTTGTATTTTTACAGTACATTACTGGCAGCACGGTTGCCAGCAAGTTACTGTATTTCGATTTCCAGTAACTGTAGTGTAATTCACTTTACAGTGCACAAGATCAGTACTGTAGACTACAAAATAGTACTTTACTGTATTTTTACTGTATTTCGTAATTTGGTCTGCTTCTGCTGTAATTAATTATACGGTATTGTACTGTAATATCTATATTGATACATTACTGCTAAATATTATTGTAATTTTCAAAATAGTTTCTAATAATGATAATATTATAATAATATAATATAGTTATTAGGAAAATATATAGTAGGAAAAAAAATACTATGGAAGTCAATGGCTACTGTCAACTGTCTTGTTACCGACATTCTTTAAAATATCTTATTTTGTGTTCAGCAGAATACAGAAACTCATACAGGTTTGAAACAACATGAGGGTGAGTAAGTGATGACAAATATAATTTTTGGCCAAAAATTCAAATTAGCCCATGATTTACTCACCCTCTAGCCATCCTAGGTGTATATGACATTCTTCTTTCAGACGAACACAATCAGAGTTATATAAAAAAAATGCCCTGGCTCTTCCAAGCTTTATAATGGCAGTGAATGGTTGTTTCTGTTTTGGAAGTCCATAAAAGTGCATCTATCCATCATAAAAGTGCATCTATCCATCATAAAAGTGCATATCCATAAAAAAATATTAATATAAAATAAAATATGAAACATATTCATACTCAAGTTGCGCTTTAGATTGAAGTCAAATCCGTATGTTCATTTGGCCGGAAGCTAGTTATTTTACTTTATAAAGTTTTAAATACGGATATTTTTCTTACATCTCCATCTTCCTCATCACTCCACATAAAGTCAACATCTGAGATATTTTCATCAGCTATATGTTCAAGCACTTCAAGAACTGTATATTCTGCATATGAAAAAGTTTTAAAAATGTATCGGTACTGTGATATAGATTTTTTTATATAAGAAATTTCAATCAGCATTACTGGACATGTGATTTCAGTAACAGGCTTTCGAACCCACTGTCCATTCTAATGGACAGACACATTTGAAAAAATCCTGATTTAAAACGTGCAATTCTACAATCGATTTTTAACTTTAATTAATAAGTTCAATCTTTCTATTTTACATACAAACTATGAAATAATGGCAAAAATATATAAAAAATGTCAATAAAACCATAGAAAATGTTGCTTGCTTCTGTGCTTGGAGTGAAGTGCTGCCATGCTTCTCTTCAATGAAGTGTATTTTTTTATAATTACTACATCCAGAGCTTTACTGCCATTTGATTGGATGACAAACGTCCAATCTCATGGACTGCAGGCTTTAAACTAGGTGAAATGCTCCAGAAGTAAAAAAAAAAGGAGGCTGACATGTGATGTCCATTGTAATGGACGCAGGGTCTGAATGAGTTAAAATAAGGTAAATACAACTACTCAACACAGTCAACATTATGAAAAAAAGTCCGTTAGTACTTCAGTGACTACTTCGCAAAGAGAAGCTGTCAATCACAGCTGACAATCATGATGTCACAGCACCGTTTTTATAGCATCAAATAACTAACTAAAAACTAACTTATTTTAAAAACAAACACTTGAAATTACATCAACGTGATAGAAACTACAGTAAATGACAGAAACTATCTTTAGAAAAAAGATATGTGAAGTGTAATTTAATTGTTTAGTTGGTCTCACGTCCCGTTGAATAACATGGGGAGGCGGGGCTTATGACCTATACTAGGACCGGTCACCGGGGGGCGATCGAGACGTTTTGGCTTCACTTTTGAGGGCTTGTGCGGCACGCTTGAGTCTAACAGGAAACAGTTGACAGATAGCAACATTCCTCTCATGAAACACACACGACGTTTGAGGTTCAAGAAGGAGCAACACTTCAGTTAGCAAGGTCTGGGTCATTTACAGTTTCCATTCCCATCCTGAACACAAAGTAAGTTCATCTTAGTGGTATGTATTCACATGCTTTCTGATGTTTATGAAATACTCAAATTAGTATGCCTTTTAAAAGCTTCAAGTCTCCGTAATATTTACATTATACAGTATTTTGCAGTAGTAAGGACGGTCACTATTAGCTTAGAAAAACCTGTCAAAAATGTTACCAGATATTAGGGTGATATTATTCGTACACTCTGATGTGTACGAAATATTAGACCAATTCATTACATTGTGTAAATCTTAAATGTTTAAGTACTTTTTGTCTAATAATTATTCACATTTCAAAATTTATAGAGAAATTAGTAATGAGTTGATCTGATGCAATATGTAACGTTATGCTTGAATTATAATTCAATATGCATGCATGCATGCATTATAATGAATAATTTCTGCTTAACAGCTTCAAAATTGAAATTATTAGTGTACTTTTATAAATGTGATGACACCATGGTAGTACAATAATGGTATGGTTATACAAGTTACTCTGAGACACCTCAGTCTTCCATGTATATGCCATTTTTGTTTTGGGTAGATAATAGATGAACCCTATATCACTTTATTGTGAAAAAAATATATATATCTTTTCATTGATTCAAAAATGGTTGCTGCAGTTTTAGCAATACGTGTCTTGTTAGTATTTCTGCATGCCTGCTTCAGTTGTATGGTGGGAATGCGTCAGAATCGCTCATTGCTCATTCATTTAGAAGATTTATTTTCATAAAATCAGTGGACAGAATAACATAATTAACCCCAAGTTCCCAACCACTCAGGATGTGTTCATTCAATTGAGATCATTTTTTAAAATGGCATTTTTCTTTTTTTAAATATATTTAAATATATTTTATTTGGATTATAATTTTTTATTTTTAAACTGTAAATATCAAAATAAAATGGATGATTTTATTTGTTTGATACTTTTTGTAATTAAATTAATAATTAGTAATAATTAATAATACAATTAATAATAATTAACTAATTTAAACATTTTTATAATGATTTTAATTAGATAAGATGTTAAATGTAGTAGGTTTACAGGTGAACAACAATACATTCAAATTCACATATATCATCTGAAATCATTATGTCCTCTAATGCAGTCTCGCTTTTCAGGTGAATTTATTTTATTTCTTCATTCATTTTTTGTTTTAAGAATGATTTGATGCGTTTTTTATTCTGGGAAACAAGACAATGAATTGATTAATAATATTTTTTTCTGCAGTGTATGTAACTATGATTCATAATTTTGCAGTTACGTCACATGTGTAGCAGATTGTGTCAGTAAGTGTTTGTCTTCCATTTGAATCTACAGGACGATGACACAGCCAGCAGACTCCATTCTACACAGTGGTTACTTTCACCCAACTCTCCGATACTGGCAGACCTGTGCTTCAGACCTTAGACCAGATAACCTCATATATCCTATCTTCATTACGTAATGTCTTCCCCCTCATTATATTTATTTGTTGATTGTATATAGGTTAAGGAGTTATTAAAGTTGTTTAAGCTTTTTAAAGTTTAAAGTTGTTCAAAGTTGCTTGTTTAAAGGTACTATTGTCCGTTTGTTTGATTGAAGACAAACAGTTTTTACCCAACTGATTTTAACAGTGACAGTCCTGATGCAGTGGAACCAATTGCAAGTCTACCTGGTCAAGCGAGGTATCATCCTTCACTGTCATTTTTTTGTATCTTTCATATCTCTCATCTTTGTTTCTCATCGTTTACTAAAGTAACAAGTATCACTGAATTGTCATTGAATTAAGGAGTCTAATGGATTACTAATGGAGTTTAACATGAAGCTAGACTGTTATGATCAATTTTAAACATTTAAAGAAAAACTGGCACTTGGCATTAATAATGTACATAACAGTTTGTTGTTGTTGTTTTTAAACTAAGGATAACATCTTTAACCTTCAGAAAGTGTTTTGTCTGGCTCAGGACCTCAACCCTGTTATAAATATTTGGGACAAGGATGAAAATAGGGGTGCCTAGTTTAGGACCATAGGTTGATTTGTAGTTCCCTATTTTATTATTAATTAATATATTAGTTTAATCATGTCAGTTAGCTTTGATGTTTTGTATAAGACTTGCATAAAAGACTCTAGAAGGAAGGACTATGGGAAACATCTTTTTAAATATTCAAGATGTGTATGGTTGATATAGCAAAGATGAAGTTTGCATGTAAAGTTTGGGCTGGTGGTCTGAGATAAGATTCAGGCAGGGTGGTAGCCAACAAAGCACAAAGATAAGCCAAGGATCCGTTTATTCTGGGTTGTTAAGTCTGGGCGGTTGTAGTCAAAGTGAGGTCTGCTTACATAGTCAAGTAATATAGACTGCATTCAGAAAGGAATACTATCATGCTGGTTATTACTTACTTAAAAAAATAGTATGTGAAAAAATACTAAGCACATTATGCAGCACAGCAGATAATTTAGTTACTAATTTAGTAATAAACAGTATTATGCAATGTTGTCACATGACCTCATGGAACATTATTGCATGTTTCATTCAGCGTGGGATGTCTAGTTATCTCAGACGAAGAAACATTTAATAAAAATGTCTTAACTGTTTAAAGTCTGATCAAATAATTAGCTAAATTGCGACAGACAGTTCATTTATTTTACTATAAATGAGAGAAATTCGCAATATAAAGGAAGCTCTAGTAAAGTAAGTCCCATCTTCTGAATAGGCAGTTGGCAAAGTCATCGTGTCATTGCAGCTGCTGTGTCCTGAAACTCCCGCTTAGGACTGCAGATAGCTTTAGTGTGTCATATAAACAAAAAAGAATGCCAATGTATTGTTAAGAAATTTTATAATAAATAATGTTTCATTCTGTTGATTTCAGATATGGCGTCAATAAGATAGAGGGTTTAATTCGTCCCCTTGTGGATAAAGGCCTGAAGTGTGTGCTGATTTTTGGAGTTCCTGCAAATGTTGCGAAGGTCATTGAGAAGTGAAATGGTTCAGTAATATTTCTGTCATTCATTTTATGAGGGAGTTGATTAAATATTGTTTCTTTGTCTTCTCATTTCCTGTCCCAGGATGAGAGAGGCTCTGGTGCAGACAGAGATGACACTCCTGCAGTGCTGGCTGTGAAGAAACTGAGGAGCACATTCCCTGAACTTGTGTTGGCCTGTGATGTGTGCCTTTGCCCCTACACCTCTCATGGCCACTGTGGTTAGTTTCAGTATTGGATCTGTTTACATCATTTAATGGTGCACCAAGTAAGTTTTTTCAGGGATTTACAGAAATTAATAATAACCTTTATTTTCTATAGCGCCTTTAAATGTACATCTCAAAGCGCTGTACAAAAACAATTAAAACAGCAAAGATACAATACACAGTAAAATAAACTTAAAAGACAATAAACATAAGACAATAAATCAAATAAAAGCTAACCTAAAAAAATTAGTTTTTAGCTGAGATTTAAAAATACCAAAAGATTTGGCTTGCCTGATCTCAATCGGTAGAGAATTCCAAAGTTTTGGAGCTAATGAAGAAAAAGCCCTATCTCCCATTAATCTCAAACGAGTTAAGGGAACAGTTAAAAGACCAGTTTCCGAAGAACGAAGATCACGTTTTGGAGTATATGGAGTTAAAAGCTCAGTCAAATATTGAGGTGCCAAACCATGCAGTGCCTTGTAAGTAAGGCCATGCTTAAAAATATTCTTGTTTGCCGTAACCCGACCGACCCTGTCAAATTAGGACCGACCCAATTATTTATTTTTTTCCCATTTTAGTCCGACCGACTTGCCGGTTGTAAACTTGCATTAAGACCGACCGATTTTTTTTTTACTCTTCAAACAACTAATACAAATGCAATAAAATAATATACATTTATTATAGTAAGTATTGTGAATATAAATTGCGTAGGCTACGTTCTTTCTTTTAAATAAAAACCCGTGGCGTCATCTATTATGATTATGTTTACACCATTGGTTTACGCATGTCACACTATGGCCTGTGCGTTCGCTTCGTTTCATTCACTGTCAATGGTTCGCGCTCGGTGATGATGGCTGCGGCGCGGCTGCTTGTGAAATACGTCTGTATGAGCCTACATTTAGTCGCTCATTATTCGAAATTCTTAATGGTCAAATAGGGAATCGATGTTAACGGCCTTTTCTCGGAGCCCGTCCAGCTCGTCATGACATGCCCACCGCGAACGCGCGTCACACAGCAACTGCAGGCTCTGACAAACAAACACACATAAGTGTGGGAAGCCAAACACACCGAAAGGGGGACGAAACGGCGCGGTGTGTTACAGAGTTCGCGCTGCGCTGACTTGTAATCTGCGTGGCTCAATGGACCGAGACGCGCGAGCGCGACAGACTCGACAGCGCAGGAGAAGTGTTTGCTTGCGCCAGCCAATGGTCAGAGCGGCGCGAATTAATCTCACCAGCGCCGCTGACCAATAAAACAGCACATCCCATACCGAAATGTACTAAATTGCACAAAAGAAAATCGACCATTCCATAATATGTCAGGACTACTTAATCGGCCTATAGTTTCCTACAATGCGCCTAGCTATTTGACCACACTGATTTCCGTTAATAATAGCAGATGTTTATGGGTCAAATCTCTCACTCTCTCCCTGCAACTTTTTGTTACCCTCCTTTCCTGCCCCTAGACCAGAAAGGGGGCTTGTAACAGTATGGGTCAAATGTAAACGAATGGTGCCAAACGCGCTGTTTTATTGGTCGGCGCGGCGCTGGTGAGATTAGTCATTTTAATTTATTTGTTTCCCTCTGAAAATCCACTTTCATTGAAATCTAGTGGCTCCTTTTTTTCTTTTGATTCTGCCTATTTTTTTCCAAATGAATGCAGCTGGAATTAATGCAATAAATATGTTTGTTTTTTTACAAAGATTTCAAATTGTTTGTGGTCTATAACCTGTATCAGAATGAGGTTCGCAATGGTGCGCCCGAAGGCATGGGGGTTGAAGACCCAGTCAGTGACGTCACGATATGCAAATTTGTTTAAATTCATACCGACCTAATCACCATGACCAAAATTATCCTTTTTTTTTTACATTGAATCTTGAAAAAAAAATATATAGACCTACCTACCGACCCTTTTTTTTTTTTTTTTTGCTGTTACTGCAAACCAAAATATTTTTAAGGATGGCCTAAGCATCAACATTTTGAAGTCCACCCTAAACCTAATGGGAAGCCAGTGCAAAGACTCCAAAACGGGAGTAATATGGTCTCGTATATTAGTTCTAGTAAGGATTCTGGCAGCCGAATTTTGCAAAACCTGCATTCTGTTTAGGGTAACTTTTGACACGCCACCTAACATGGCATTACAGTAATCACTATGCGAAAACACAAAAGTGTTTATCAATCTCTCAGCAACAGTAAACGACAGCATTGGACGCAATCTGGCAATATTTCTAAGATGGAAAAATTTAATTTTAACAGTATTCAAAACATGTGGCTCAAACGTTAGATTGGCATCAAAAATTCCTCAATTTTGTTTGAAACTCCACAGTAGAGCCATCAAGAGTTAGAGTGACCGGCTCTGCTTTGTGTAGTTGGTGGGGTGAACCAACAAGCATAATCTCTGTTAAGACAACGAAAATTATCTGTCATCCATTCCTTCATGGTTTTGTTCGACCCCACGCTCTGCTTTCACTCACACATTAGTCAGACTGTCAAATCATTCTTTTTTCACCTGCGGAATATTGTTCGTATTCCCCCCTCTCTTACCTTTATAGATGCGGAAACTGTTATTCATGCTTTTATCACTTCCAGATTGGATTTCTGTAATTCATTATACAGCGGATTACCCACCAAAGCAATACACCGCCTTCAAATGGTTCAAAACTCTGCAGCACGTGCCCTCACATATAATAAAAAATCTGCCCACATCACTCATATCCTTCACCAACTGCACTGGCTTCCTGTCATAAACCGCATCCAATTTAAACTGTTAGTTCTAGTATATAAAGCTGTACACGGCCCGGCACCCAAATACCTTGTTGATTTGGTACAGCCATATGTTCCAACTCGGGCCCTTAGGTCTAGCACTGAAAACCTACTCGTGGTACCCCGGGTCAGACTCTCCACGGTGGGTGGTAGGGCTTTTAGTGTTGTTGGCCCTAAGCTGTGGAATAAGCTGCCCCCGAATCTTCGTGCGACCGACAACATCCGGACCTTTAAAAAACAACTTAAAACTCATATCTTCAAGCTTGTCCAATAAATCAGTATCCTCATCACTGCTTTCTCTGTTCTTCACTTTTCCAGCTTTTTCGTAATATGGTACATACTTCGTCGTAATTGTATATTTTGATAAATAATACAATATGTCTTTCTTTGATTCATGTCAATCAGTGTATGCTTGTTTCCATCTGTTTTGTCTCTCATAAGCAGATGGCCTTTGTATTTGTTTGCTTGTTGTTTGTTTGCTATTTGTATTACATTGTGAAGCGACCTTGGGTTCTTGAAAGGCGCTATAGAAAATAAACATATTATTATTATTATTATTCATCTTAGAAATACACTCAGAAAGAAAATTAACTGGCACAATTTCATTAGGTCTAAAATGAATGTAGATCTGGGTATCATCTGCATAGAAATGAAATTTTAGACCAATTGATCTCAAAAGCTGGCCAAGAGGATAAACATAAATATTAAAAAGAAGAGGGCCCAAAATTGACCCCTGAGGGACGCCAGACTGCAGATTACAAGTAATGCGAGTTACGTAATTAGATTACTTTTTTCAAGTAACTAGTATAGTAACGCATTACTTTTAAATGTAAAACAAAATATCGGAGTTACTTTTTCAAATAAGTAATGCAAGTTACTCTGTGTTCCCATTCATTGACTGACAGCTCTCCTGTCCCCATGTTGAGAGAAATCAGTGTTGTGTGCGCTGTGTAAACATGATGATTATTGTAGTTCTAGAATAAATCTGAGCATGCATTTACTCATCTCACTTGAACAAAAGCACATTCATAATAATAATAATAATAATGCATTTTATTTAATGGCGCCTTTCATAACACCCAAGGTCACCTCACAAGCAATATACAGGTCACTGCATAAGACAAAACACACAACAAACAAGTCACATATTCAGATAAAGTGCAGTAAAGTCTCAATAAAACATGTTATAAAAAAGCCTGTATGAAAAGATATGTCTTAATACGCGTTTTAAAAGTCAACAAGCACTTGCTATTGCGAACATCAATGGGAAGAGAGTTCCATAGGCGGGGGGCAGCATAACTAAAAGATCTGGCACCCATGGCAGTAAGTCGAATTTGAGGTACCACAAGAGAAATTGAAGATGAAGATCTGAGAGCACGTGAAGGAGTGTAAATATGGAGAAGTTGAGTAAGGTATTGTGGTGCAAGATTATGAAGTGCCTTATAAGTAAGTAGCAAGATTTTGAATTCAACACCATACTGGAAGCCAGTGCAATTGCTGAAGAACTAGAGAAATGTGCTCAGTATAATGTGTTCTAGAGAGAACACGAGCTGCAGAATTCTGAACCAACTGAAGCTTATGTAGCAGTTTGGAGGTAATACCTGTGAGAAGAGCATTACAGTAGTCTATACGTAAAGTGACTAGTGCGTGAATAAGAACGGCAGTATTACTATTTGAAAGAAAGGGACGAAGACGGTTAATATTACGCAAGTGGAAGTATGCAATCCGCGTGATATTATTACTTTGAGCTTCAAAGCATAGTGTGCCATCCATGATGACACCCAAACTTTTAACCTGTGATGAAGGACAGATTGCAGTATTGTCAATGTACAAAGAAAAACAATTAGATTTAGACACAACAGATCTAGTGCCAACAAGCAGAGCCTCAGTTTTGTTGCCATTTACCTTCAAAAAGTTAGCTGAAAGCCAATCTTTAATTGTTTGTGATACAAACTGAACTGTGAGTAATTTGAACCATTACACCCCTAGTAGCTACCTTAATCTGACTGTTTAAACACCGTTTAAACTTTATAATATTGTTATCATTTTCGTTTGTGTATTTTTTAACATTTAATATTTAATATCTGTTATATTTGATTTTTTAACAGCCCAAGCATACATGCAGGCCTGTAGAATGGTGTGTAAAACAAATTCATAAGAAAAAAAAATGTAAATAATAAATCAGCAACATTGCAAAGGTTTCTGCCAGTAGTGGGCACTCGTGCAACGGATGCAATGACATACATCCAAGTGAACAAGATGGAGGAAAGTTAGCAAGGGAAAAATGGACTTAAACGCAGCCCTGCAAACCAGAATGGTAGCACAGCTGAAAGGTTTGTTTGGCTTGCACCCTCTACTGTACAGGAGTGAATTTGCATTCCTTTCCGCCTGAGGCTTATTCACGTCACTTTTGGTGTGAAAGGGCCTTTACATTTGCCAAAAATATATATATATTTTTTAAATTACTTTCCTTAAAAGGTAATGCAATTAGGGAGTAACACAATATTGTAACACATTGCTTTCCCCAACACTGTTCATGTAATGGCTCATAAACAAAAAATGGATCATATTAAAATTCTATTCAATTAAAAATAAATAATAAATATTTAAAATATAACAGTAAAATACATTAAGTGAATTTAGGCACATTTGTACTTTAAGAAAAATGGATATTGGAAAATTAAGATACAATTTAAATATCCAGAATCAACTGATAATAAAATTATAATATTGGCTGTTAACTAAAATGCCACTAATATGTTGTGCTTCCCTTTTTTGAGACCTAAACAAATAGTATGTTTTCACAAAATATATTTCAATGTTTTTTCACATGACCATCTACTCACTTATAATTTCATATTTCCTATTTTATTCACAATGGCATTTTTAACCAAACATCTGTGCTTTGGCATGATGCTGCATCCATGCTGATAAGTGTTAGTATGAAGCCCAAGAACACTGTTATATCGAACAGTGAAACAACAGAGCTCACCTTTGAAAATGTACAAATAATTACTGAATGCTCCTTTAATCATAAACAAAGGTGGGACGACTACTATTATAGACACCTTTAGTCTTGTCTTTTATCAATCCTATGCAATTTGTTTTACCTGGTATTTTTAAATGAACCCTTTACAGTGATATTACCATAGTGTGTGTCTTTCTTTGTGGCACCTTTAAGGAATCCTGCGTGAAGATGGCAGCCTGGATAATGCCGCAAGCTGTTTGAGGTTGGCTGAAGTAGCTCTGGCTTATGCTCTAGCAGGTTAGTCCTAAATTATATTAATTTATAGCACACATAATCTTTGCATTTTTGAATAATACACTGAACAAAATTATAAACTCAACACTTTTCACTCACAGGTGTGGCATATCAAGATGCTGATTAGACAGCATGATTATTTTACAGATGTGCCTTAGGCTGGCCACAATGAAAGGCCACTCCAAAATGTGTTTTACTGTATTGGGGGGTCGGCGTATACGACAGCATGTTCCAGGTCCTCCCAATGTCCAGCAACTTCGCACAGCCATTGAAGAGGAGTGGACCAACATTCCACAGGCCACAATCAACAACCCTTTTTTTTATTGTGGCCAGCCTAAGGCACACCTGTGCAATAATCATGCTGTCTAATCAGCATCTTGATATGCCACACCTGTGAGGTGGATGGATTATCTCGGCAAAGGAAAATGCTCACTAATGGCGGCCATACATACATTCGTCCGATTTTGAGCCGAATTCTCACTCGTGCGACTCTTTTTCGGGTCGGACTGATTTTCAGCTTTGTCGTGCGTCGTTTGTCGTGCAGTGTACAAGTCAAGTCAAGTCATCTTCATTTATATAGCGCTTTTAACAATGGATTGTTTCAAAGCAGCTTTACAGAGATAAACATATAATTTAAGGTAACAGAGATTGTTTTGGCTTTATAGCGGTTCTTGAAAAATGTTATTTCCAGGAAAAAGGACCCAAGGTCTAACTAGGACCAAGGAGCAGGACCGGAGCACAGAACGTTTTAATATATTTATTAGTGCAAAATGACCAACGTTTCGACGCACATGCGTGAAGAAGACGCATGTGCGTCGAAACGTTGGTCATTTTGCACCAATAAATATATTAAAACGTTCTGTGCTCCGGTCCTGCTCCTTGGTCCTAGTTAGACCTTGGGTCCTTTTTCTCAGATTGTGGTGTCCTGTTCCGAGAGCACTGGCTAGGCTGAGGCGCAAGTGATTCCTTTCTAATGTTATTTCCAGCTAAAGTTAGTTTTGATTGATTCACCTCCGTCGAAATCATTTGTTATTAAATTAGGGGCCGCTAAGACGACGCCGTTCTCTCTAAACAGACTTTAAACGCGAACCTGTGATTAGCGCTGACGGCGTTCACATGCACATTAAGAATTTATTCTATAGTTATGTGCTTTTGAAAATATGTGCGCAGGTTTGTAATTCCTTACAACCCATGCCTAAACAAACTACTTGTCTTGCCTATAAATTTTGATACAGAATTTTGTTTTATTTTATCACTTCGGGGTACGCGAACCGAATTCACAACGCTTTATCTGTAGAGTGGGAAAGGGATCCTCCATAGGGAGAGGATAGTTGACACTTCAGCACTGCATTGTCATCGGGTCCAGGCAAAGCTCCTTCGTCAGATCTGGATACGGCCTGGATCCGGCAGGGTGTACAGGGAGAAACGAGAGGCGATTAACCTCTCCCGATCGACAATCGGATGGTCGGATAAATTTCTGGCATGTCAGAAATTTTGGTCGCTCCTTGTGACTATATCGCACAGTTGAAGCAAAGCTATGAACCGATTGCCCTGAACTCAGTGTTTTTTCCCTCACTGCGCCTGCGCGAAATCAGAAGTTTAACCATTTCATCTGCAGCAAAAATAAAATTAAAATAAAAACGAAAAGAGGGAGATCTTTAAGTTCTGTAGTTCAAACTAGCTACAAATTACTGTTGCTTACCTCCAGTTCGTGTTTGGATTAACCATATATTACCCACGTCTTCCAAGCCACCTGCGATGTAACGCCTCTTTTATTAATTTGTTAAACAATGTTTTTGAAATAAACCTGTTTTTAATTTATTGATGATTAATTATTGCAATGTTCAGACATATTATAGACTGTTAATAGTTATTTATATGCCTATAATTCATTGTAATCGACCTAAATGTTTTAGACAATTTTCAATGAGGAGGAGTAAGCTTCTATGTAATATTTTATTATCCTCACAGCACGTTGGTTATGTGCTGTGAAATTATTGCATGGCAAATTAATTATAGCGGATCAATTTAATAATAAAATTAGCCTGGGTCTCCCCTAATAATGATAATACAATAATACTAATAATAATTTAATGCATAAATTGGAAATGTTAAATCATCTTGATATTGATAGCTGATGCTTGTTTTGACAATATCTCTGGATACATGATATCGTCTATAGGCGCAATCCAGGGGTTTATCGCAGATATTTCACACGTATAGTGTGAGCAGTGAAGCGCAGCTCGATGATCGGACCGTATAGTGTGAGCACATAAATCCTGAACTTTGGCTTTACATCGCATGCGATTTATTCGTTCAGTGGCCCTCATTTATCAAAAGTGCGTACACCAAATTTCCAGCGTACACCTGGCGTACACCCAAACCCACGGTGACTTTGAGATTTATCAATATGGACGTTGGTGTACGGAACGCTCAAATCCTACGCCAGCTCAGGAGGTGGTGTACGCACGTTTTGTGTTAGTGCAGAAATGCGCAGAAAAACAATTCCTAACACCACAAATCGCACTGACAAACTAAAAGATATGATATATTATGACCAACAACAACAACATAGTAATTATAAACTTCAGTGTTTATTTTTGTGCAACATGGACTTCAATGTTTAATTTGTGTGACTTTACCAAAGCATTTGATTTGAAGCCATATGTATTCCTTCAGTTGCGAGCCTGTGCGCTTTACCCTGACGTTTCATGCTTAGGCCCGGCAGGTGCGCACGGACTGGGTTCGGTAATGAAAGGCTTTCAATGACCAAAAAATAATTCAGACTGACAAAATAATAAAAAATACATTCTTCTTCTTTTAAATAATAATAATACAAATAAATAATAATAACGACGTTCTTCTTCTAAATAACAACAAGCGTCATTAATAATAAAAATCATAATAATAAGAAGAATATTACAAATTGTCATGCAATTATTAATGTGAATGAATGGTACTCCACATCACATCATCATCGTCACTATTGTACACCCCAATACATGTGACGCGATTCGAAATTGAATGCTAATTGTTTCAAAAGACGTGCCGTAAAATATTGCATTGTGATAGGACATTTCGGCTCCACGTCGGAGAAGTTTCTCTTCTATGCCGTCTTCCGTGTGTACATGGCGTAAAATGAGGGCATGGGGGAAGCGGAGACTTGAATATATAGGGGCGTGCTATTCTAATGACGATCGTTTTCAGCCGCGGGATTTATCAAGGGCAGGTATTGCGTACACCTGGATTTCAAAGGTACGCACAGCTTCATAAATCAGGCGGTGAGAGGAGTGTAAGCATAATCTAACGCCAACATATACGCCCGTTTCTACGCAAGAATGATAAATGAGGGCCAGTGTGAGCAGACATCGCACAGTGTATGCCCGCCTTAACACAGATTTAGACAGATTTGTGAACAATATTTGAGAGAAATAGGCCTTTTGTGTACATAGAAAAAGTCTTAGATCTTTGAGTTCAGCTCATGAAAAATGGGGGCAAAAACAAAAGTGTTGCGTTTATAATTTTGTTCAGTGTAGGTCTATAGAAGTCATCATCATCACATTAGGTCACACTTTTTCTCCGCTTAGGCTGCCACATCATCGCCCCTTCTGATATGATGGATGGACGAATTGCAGCCATTAAGCAAGCACTAATCAGTAATGATCTTGGCAACAAGGTAGAGAAATCTTGCTTTTGGGTCACACAAAATAGTTAAATAGAATATTGCAGATTCTGACTCTAGCTCTTTCCCCTTTCTTAGGTGTCAGTGCTGAGCTACAGTGCTAAATTTGCCTCCTGCTACTATGGACCATTCAGGTATTATATATTCCCTTTATCAACTTCCTTCATAGTTGTTATATATTCTTATAAGATGAGAACAACTGGATGGGTTTATTCTTTGTAAACCAAAATATAATTTTCCTTAACATTTGAAGGGATGCTGCCCAGTCTAAACCTGCTTTTGGAGACAGACGATGCTATCAGCTTCCCCCTGGTGCCAGAGGACTAGCACTGCGGGCCTGTGTAAGAGAACGTCACTTTTTTAAAGACCCCATGTAATCACCTGATGAGCACAATTTTCTTTCCTGTGTTTACATGTTTTATAACAGGAATTTATTGAAAAGCCACTTTTAACATGGAATCTGAACTACTAAAACAGCACTGATATAACAATCCAGGACCCTAAATCAATTTTTAACTACAGAAATGGGCACAATGACTAGACCTGTGGTTTTTTTCTTCTATTGTATGGGATGCAGCAAGTGAAGTAAAAGTATAAGGAAACTACTTTTTTTGCTGGTAGGACCGGGACGTGAAGGAAGGTGCTGACATGCTGATGGTGAAACCTGGATTACCATACCTTGATATTGTGAGAGAGGTCAAGAATAAGGTAATAACTGTAGAGTCAGTGTATTATTATATTTATAGTTATTTTTTTAGTCCTTTTCTGACACCTCATATTACATCTCAGCTTTAAAATCTTATCTTACATTGTAGAAATTTAGTCCCAAAAATGTATTTGAAGACTTAAAGGAATAGTTCACCCAAAAATGAAAATGCTCCCATAATATACTCTCCCTCAAGCCATCCTAGGTGTATATGACTTTCTTCTTTCAGACAAACACAATCAGAGTTATATTAATTAATATCCTGGCTCTTCCCAGCTTTGTTATGGCATTGAATAGTGCACAAGTTTAAGCTCCAAAAAGCGCATCCATCCATGATAAAAGTAATCCATACGACTCAAGTGGGTTAATAAATGCCTTCTGAAGAGAAGTGATGGGTTTTTATAAGAAAAATATTTATATTTAAAACTTTATAAACTGTAATCACTGGCTAGATGTGCTTTTTGGAGCTTCAAAAAACTCGGGCAATATTCAGTGTCATTACCCAGCTGGGTCCCACTTTATATTAAGTGGCCCTAATACCTGTGAACTTACATGGTTACTAGATATGTACTTAGTATGTAACTACAGTGTAAATACACATTGGTACATAGTATCTACAACTGTAATATTTGTGTAACTACACATATGTAACAACCCAAGGAAAGGTATGTGTAAGTACAAATGTGTAACAGGACATTGGTAACAACACTTTTTCCACTACAGTAAGTACACATGTGTAACAGGCATTATGTAACTACATTTTGTAACAACAATATGTATTCACACAAGTTGTTCCACTTCCACACGCAGTCTTCCATACTGTAGTTACCAGTTAAGAACACACTGAAACCATGATGATTCCTATGTGTATACCATGTATTTACTATATGACCGGCAGGACTTATGTTGAATTACAGCTAAAGTTTTCCCTTGTGGTACCAGTGTACATACATGGTAACTCCTCAGGAACTCTGCACTTGATACAATGTGTTAAACTGTCATAACTTACATGTATTATGCAAAACCCAAACCTCTGTGCAACTGTACTAACAGTGTACTTACATGGTAAGTCCTCAGGAACTATCCACTTAATATAAAGTGTAAAATGGTCATAACTTACTGTGTATTATGCAAAACCCAACCCTGTGCAACTGTACTAACAGTGTACTTACATGGTAACTCCTCAGGAACTGTCCACTTAATATAATGTGTAAAACGGTCATAACTTACATGTATTATGCAAAACCCAAACCTCTGTGCAACTGTACTAACAGTGTACTTACATGGTAACTCCTCAGGAACTGTCCACTTAATATAAAGTGTAAAATGGTCATAACTTACTGTGTATTATGCAAAACCCAAACCTCTGTGCAACTGTACTAACAGTGTACCAACATGGTAACTCCTCAGGAACTGTCCACTTAATATAAAGTGTAAAATGGTCATAACTTACTGTGTATTATGCAAAACCCAACCCTGTGCAACTGTACTAACAGTGTACTTACATGGTAACTCCTCAGGAACTGTCCACTTAATATAAAGTGTAAAACGGTCATAACTTACATGTATTATGCAAAACCCAAACCTCTGTGCAACTGTACTAACAGTGTACTTACATGGTAACTCCTCAGGAACTGTCCACTTAATATAAAGTGTAAAATGGTCATAACTTACTGTGTATTATGCAAAACCCAAACCTCTGTGCAACTGTACTAACAGTGTACCAACATGGTAACTCCTCAGGAACTGTCCACTTAATATAAAGTGTAAAACGGTCATAACTTACTGTGTATTATGCAAAACCCAAACCTCTGTGCAACTGTACTAACAGTGTACTTACATGGTAACTCCTCAGGAACTGTCCACTTAAAATAAAGTGTAAAATGGTCATAACTTACATGTATTATGCAAAACCCAAACCTCTGTGCAACACTGCATTAACACTGTACATACATGGTAACTCCTCAGGAACTGTCCACTTAATATAAAGTGTAATTGTTAGGGTCATTGTTGTGTACCACAGTAAATGCAAAACACAAGGTTACGTAGTGGATAGTAAACTCTGAAATATAAATGTGATAGTTATGCTTTGATAGATTCTGGGATATTACGGCATAGCACTTTTAAAGATTTACTCTTTATTTTAGATTTTTTTTATTTGACATTGTGGTGACCTATTTGCCTTTACAGTAAATTACAGTGTTCTGTAAACAATAAACAAGAATTGCCTACACTTTAAAACCTTAAAAATACCTTGTTTAATCGTTTAACCATTTTGTAGTATTTAGTTTATTTACCGTGAGACACAAAAAGCGTTTTCTCCAATAAAACACAACATAAATTCACAAAAAACATCAATTGTATTAGCTTGATGTAATCCAAATATTTAGAATCCATACGTTGTTTGCAAGAAACAGATCCAAATTCAGCCCTTTATGATCTTAATCTCCATTTCTCAGCAGCGACCGCCAACGTCAAATCCCGCGCTCAGGCGCGCTGGTGATGAATTCAAATTAAAAAAATGCGCCTTCAAGAAGCGTTACGACATGTTTTACGGCCGTGATATCAAACGCTCATTGGCTATGATTGGCTCTCGCCTGCTTCGTCACAGATTGCGACATGCCGTGTTTCAGTTGGTGTACATTTGGAAATGGGGAAGCGCGCGCGCCTTCACAGAGCGAACCGAAACCGGATTAACATTTTCATGGATTAATAATTTATATTCTGATCTGTACCTCATACACAACTATTATAATACTGACAGAGAGGACTGCGGCTGCAACGCATCATCATGTGAACGACTTTTGGTACCGGTTTTGACATTTTCGCAATAAACAAATTATTGTGAAATTTATAACGTTAACGTTAAGTTACTTGTCTGTCTGTTATGTTTTTATTTTCTTCATAAGTGTAGCCTACGTAGTTTTAAGGAATGGTTATGGGTAGGTTTAGGGGTATGAGTAGGATTAGTGGCTCAAAATATATTTTAATGCTATTGTTAATAAAACTATGAGAGGTTTGGGTTTGCTGAGATGGTCTCTGTTATGACCGTTTTTTACACTTTATATTAAGTGGACCGTTCCCGAGGAGTTACCATGTAAGTAAATTACACTGTTAATACAGTGTTGCACAGAGGTTTGGGTTTTGCATAATACACAGTAAGTTATGACCGTTTTACACTTTATATTAAGTGGACAGTTCCTGAGGAGTTACCATGTAAGTACACTGGTAATACAGTGTTGCACAGAGGTTGGGTTTTGCATAATACACAGTAAGTTATGACCGTTTTACACTTTATATTAAGTGGACAGTTCCTGAGGATTTACCATGTTAGTACACTGTTAGTACAGTTGCACATATGTTTGGGTTTTGCATAATACACAGTAAGTTATGACCATTTTACACTTTATATTAAGTGGACAGTTCCTGAGGAGTTACCATGTTGGTACACTGTTAGTACAGTTTTGGGTTTTGCATAATACACAGTAAGTTATGACCATTTTACACTTTATATTAAGTGGACAGTTCCTGAGGAGTTACCATGTAAGTACCACACTGTTAGTACAGTTGCACAGAGGTTTGGGTTTTGCATAATACACAGTAAGTTATGACCATTTTACACTTTATATTAAGTGGACAGTTCCTGAGGAGTTACCATGCAAGTACACTGTTAGTACAGTTGCACAGAGGTTTGGGTTTTGCATAATACACAGTAAGTTATGACAGTTTAACACATTGTATCAAGTGCAGAGTTCCTGAGGAGTTACCATGTATGTACACTGGTACCACAAGGGAAAACTTTAGCTGTAATTCAACATAAGTCCTGCCGGTCATATAGTAAATACATGGTATACACATAGGAATCATCATGGTTTCAGTGTGTTCTTAACTGGTAACTACAGTATGGAAGACTGCGTGTGGAAGTGGAACAACTTGTGTGAATACATATTGTTGTTACAAAATGTAGTTACATAATGCCTGTTACACATGTGTACCTACTGTAGTGGAAAAAGTGTTGTTACCAATGTCCTGTTACACATTTGTACTTACACATACCTTTCCTTGGGTTGTTACATATGTGTAGTTACACAAATATTACAGTTGTAGATACTATGTACCAATGTGTATTTACACTGTAGTTACATACTAAGTACATATCTAGTAACCATGTAAGTTCACAGGTATTAGGGCCACTTAATATAAAGTGGGACCCAAAGCGGGGAAGAGCCAGGATATTTTTTAATATAATTAGGTGTTCAAGCACGAAGTGCTGAAAACCTATTGTATTCGTTCCGATTTTTAGGTGTTCAAGCACGAAGTGCTGAAAACCTATTGTATTTGTACTGATTTTTATTATTATTAGGTGTTCAAGCACGAAGTGCTGAAAACCTATTGTATTTGTACTGATTTTTATTATTATTATTATTATTAGGTGTTCAAGCACGAAGTGCTGAAAACCTATTGTATTTGTACTGATTTTTATTATTATTATTATTATTATTATTATTATTCTCCTGTAAAACGCATCGTGCAGCCCAAACCGTAAGTGCTGGAGAGTTGAAACTTTGTCAGATGGTAGTACAAAAATCGAGGAGAGGTTATAAAATTATGAGCCCGATTGGCCCATAGGTGGCGCTATAGCGATCAATTGCGCGAAACAGCTCATAACTCCTAAACCGTAAGTCGTAGACTCAAGTGTCTTATATCATTGGAAAGCTGGAGGCCTGAAGTAAAAAACGTATATCTCCGATTTCATTTCCGGTATGCAAATTTTTCCGCCATTTTGAATTTTGTCAAAAACCTAATTTTGCGAACTAGTCCCTGGTTTTTCGCCCGATCAAAACCAAACAAATGCATACATGTTCTCTGGAGTCTGATTATCAATCGTTATCGAAAAAAAGTTGAATTTTCGATTTCCGGTCGCTAGGGGGAGTAAAATGATCGTTGTGGGAGGAGCCTATTTTACTAAAATGGCTATAACTCGAAAAGTAAATGAGATATCTTCACCAAACTCAAGAGACATGTGTATGAGGACAGTTTGAGGTCACAGTAAAAAGATCGCGACGATCGAACTCTAGGTGGCGCTATAACATAAAAAAAACATAAAAAGGGCTATGACCACCTGACCGTTAGTCCGATTGAC